AGCGTAAGGTTGGTCAAATGCCCAAGATTCGGAAATGATGGAATCTATAAATTAACATAGTGAATAATATTCAATTCCTATGTGACAATTTAAATACAAACCTTTGATCATATGTAAAAAGCTTAGATATACTATTTATATGAAGTGTTAATTAATGAATATTTATATATATTGGAAAATCGGTACGGTACATGTTACATTTAAGATACCTCCATTATTTTCCTTGTTGATGTTTATATCCCCGTTATTAGTAAAGAGTACTGAAGAGAAGCTGCCGGTGTCAGGAGCTTGACTAAATGAGATCGCCGGCTTTATTGAAAAGTCTTGAGCTATAAAAAATAATATATTTTACTTATATATACAGCTGTACAAGTAATGTTCTAAAAATATTATAGTAAATAATGAATTTAAAATAGATGTGATGTACCATTGGATAAGTCACTTAAATGATTGCAAGAAGAACCATTTTTTCGGTCCCGACTTGATGTACAAATTCTCTTTATGCTTCCCGAGTCGTGGAATTCTATTATTGACATAAAAAGAATAAATGTCAATAATTATTCTATTATTGACATAAAAAGAATAAACGTAAACTATTATGTATACAAAGATTAAAAATATTTAAAAATGTGCGATTTTTGGTAAAATTATTTCTAAGAAACGATATACACGTTGCAATTTTTCTCGCGTTTATATAAAAAGAATAAATGTAAAGCATTATGTACAATGTAAACTATTATGTATTCAAAGATTAATCATACTCCCTCCGTCCCGTGAAACCTTTCCCCTTTCTTTTTTTACCCGTCTCACAAAACACTTCTCATTTCTATTAAAAAGTCACTTTTACCCCTTACTTTTTCATACCCTAACTATCACATCATACCTTTTTACTAATAATCTATCCATCAAATCATACTTTTACTCATCATATCAAAGGATATTTTTGGAAATTCAATACCAAAATACACTACCTTAAATCCCTCCTAAAAAGCAAATGTCCCATGTTTCACGGGACGGAGGGAGTACATTGCAATTATATAATGTAATGAAGTAGAAAAAATATACTCCCTCTGTCCCAAAAAAATTTACATGTTTCAAAAAAGTGCATATTAAATATTTTTCCCAATTATATTAAAAACCACTTTTATCCCTTACCTTTATAAACTCTACCTATCATATCGTATTTTTTTTCCTAATAATCTACACATCACATACTACATTTACTCATTACATCAAGGATATTTTTTGAAAGTGAACACAAAATTATCCTTTTCTTATTTCAACTTTAGTCATAACGTGGAAATCTTTGTGAGACGGAGGTAGTATTAAATATATATTCGTTACTAAATATGTATAAAAATTTTACAATTTTTTTTTAATCGCACGAGATTTGTTTAAAAGACCTAATTATTTCACAATTAAGGTTAACTGAATAATTTAATTACTATATACAAATATCACACTTATTTGAATATCATACACACACACACACACATACATACACACACACACACATACATACATACATATATATATATATATATATATATATATATATATATATATATATATATATATATATATATATATATATATATATATATATATATATATATATATATATATATATATATATGTATCTGTGTGTGTGTGGTCTAGTAAACTTAATTTATACTCACTTCGTCCTAAAATTAATTTCCCATTTTGATTTTAGCATTTAAAGTTTTTAAACCTTGATGATATATTACGAAAAAATATATTGAATTTTTATAATAATTTAGTATCAACAAATTCAATTTGAAT